TTTCATAATATTCTTGTATGATATTCTGTTTTTCTATGTGATTTGTTGTAATTTCTCCATTTTCCTTTCTTATTTTGCTAATTTGTGCTCTCTCTTTTTTCTTCTTTGTGAGTTTGGCCAAAGGTTTGTTGATTTTATTTACTTTTTCGAAAAACCAGCTTTTGGTTTGGTTGATTTTTCCTATGGTCTTGTTAATCTCTATTGTATTTATTTCCTCTCTAATCTTTATAATGTCCTTCCTTCTGCTGCCTTTTGGGGCTTTCTGTTCTTCTTTTTCTAATTCATTTAGCTGGTGGGTTAAATTGTTTATTTGAGATTGTTCTTCTTTTGTAAGGAAGGCCTGTATCACTATAAACTTCCCTCTTTGTAAGGAAGCCCTGTATCACTATAAACTTCCCTCTTAGCACTTTGCTGTGTCCCATAGATTTTGAGTGGTTGTGCTTTCATTGTCATTGTCTCAAGGTATTTTTTAATTTCAGCTTTGATTTCCTCATTGACCCATTGTTTTTTTTAACAACATATTGTTTAATCTCCATGCTTTCCTTCTTTTCTCCTTTGTTTCTCCGTTGTTGATTTCTAGTTTCATGGTATTGTGGTCAGTAAAGATGCTTGATATAATTTCTATCTTCTTAAAATTGTTGAGGTTTGTTTTGTGCCCAAGTACATGATCAATCCTAGAAAATATTCCATGTGCACTTGAAAAGAATGTATATCCTATTTTGAGGGGATGTAATGCTCTGAAAATATCCACCAAATAATTTTTCTATTGTATTATTTAATTTCTCTGTTGCCTTATTTATTTTTTGTCTGGAAAATCCATCTAGCGATGTTAATGTGGTGTTAAAATCTCCAACTATGATTGTATTTCCATCAGTATCCCCCTTTATCTCTGTTAGTAATTGCTTTATGTATTTAGGAGCTCCTATATTGGATGCATATATATTAATGAGTGTAATATCCTCATGTTGTATCACTCCTTTAATCATTGTAAAATGCCCCTCTTTAGCTTTCTTTATGGCCTTTGTTTTAAAATCTATTTTGTCTGAAATCTGTACTGCAACACCTGCTTTTTTGGCTTTTCCATTTGTGTGGAATATCCTTTTCCATCCTTTCACTCTCAATGTATATATGTCCTTCACCCTAAAGTGGGTCTCTTGTATGCAACATATTGAAGGTTCTTGCATTATTATCCAGTCTGCCACTCTGTGTCTTTTGACTGGAGCATTCTGTCCATTAACATTTACAGTAATTAATGATAGATGTGTGTTCGTTGCCATTTGGAACTTATCTTTGCAGTTGATTTGGTATTTCTCTTTATTCCTTTCTTCTTCCTTTTGTGGTTTGGTAATTTTCCTTTGTATTATCATGGATTTTATTTAGTTTTTGTGAGTCCCTTGTAGGTTCTTGGCTTGTGGTTACCCTTTTCTGTAAGTCTATTAGCCCATTACTATATCATGAACCCATCCTACTGAAAACAAAATATTTTAAAAAGAAAGAAATAAATACTCTATATTTTCTTGCTTCCCTCTCCCACTCTTAATGATTTAGATGTCTTCTTTTACAATTTTGTGTTTATTTCATTTGTAATTCATGAGTTATCACCTATCCAGTTATGAGTTTCTCATTTCTGTATCACCCTGCTGCTTTTCATTT